TGGGGGTGTGTTGGAGGTGGAAGAAGGGGTCTGTAGAAGAGGCGTTTGACTCACGGTTAACAAAATAAGCGCGTAGACGGAGGCGGCGGAAAAATGGTTTGACATCCAAGTGTGAGCAGTATTCATTGGTGTTTGGGTGGAGGGGGATGAAGGTGAGTCCTCTACTGAGGACTGACCGTTCGTCCTCAGTGAGGGGGAGGTCTGGGGGGGATGTTGAAGACTTTACCAGCTTCAAAATTTCCCCACCCCTGGCCTCATCCCAAGATCAACCCTCCCTCTCATCCCCGCCTCCCTGACCTGTCCGTCATCTTTCCCACCTATCCACTCCTCCCACCTCACTGACCAATCCCCACCACTACCTACCTGCACTCACCTATCGCCATCCCACCTTTACCAGCTTCAAAATCTCCCCACCCCTGGCCTCATCCCAAGACCAATCCTCCCTCTCATCCCAGTCTCCCTGACCTGTCCGTCTTCTCTCCCACCTGTCTGTCCCTCCCACCTCACTGACCAATCCCCACCACTGCCTACCTGCACTTACCTATCACCATCCCACCTACCTTCCCAGCCCAACCCCTGCCATTTATTTCAGAGCCACCTTCCCCCTCCCCATTTCTGAAGAAGGGTCCCAACCTGAAACGTCAGCTTTCGTGCTCTCCTGATGCTGCCTGGCCTGCCGTGTTCCTTCAGCTCCACACTGTGTTATCTAATTTCACTTCACCTTTGGAATTGAGTTATTTTTCTCATGTTTAGACCAAGGTCCAAATTAGGGCTAGAGCTGAGTGGTCCTGTTGGAACCCAAATTGAGAGCTGGTGAATAAGTGCCATTGATATTTTCCATCACTTTGAGAATTGAGACTGATAAGGTGGCAATTGGCAATTGTCAATTGAACTTATCTTGCTTTTTGTGAACATACCGAAACAATTTTTTCCACATGATGAGACATGCTCGTGTTGTAGCTGTGTTGGAATAGCTTGACTAGGGACAGGTCTTGTTCTGAACACGAGTCTTCAGCATTATACCTGGAACATTTCTGACTTTGAAAAAAGTTGCCCACTAAGAGCTTATAATGCATTTGGCAGATTAAATCTGGCATTAACTGAAGAGGACTGCCTTGTGTCTAGTAGCAATAAATTCAGCAAGCAGGGTAATTGCACTGAAACATTCTTTCAGCAAACCAGTAAGCTAACACACTGAGGAAGGGTCACCGGACCCAAAACGTTAACTCTGTTTTCTCCACCGCAGATGCTGCCAGACCTGCTGAGCTTTTCCAGCAACTTTGTTTTTGTAAGCTAAAACACTGATTTGTTTCACTTTTCATTTAAGTTTTCAGACAGCAAATTAGATTTAAGGTAGAAGTTAAGATTTTGTAAACAACTTTTGACATTGAAAATGATGTGGATTTTTGATGGAGAAATTTGATATTCTACAAACACATGTATTTTAATCAACCTGTTCACATATTATGACACAACTCTGGAGCAGGTGGGCCTTGATCTCAGGCCTTCTTGCACAAAGTTAGGGACATTATCACTGCACCTCTAAAGCTCCAAGTTCTACAAATATAAAGTTAGCATTTCAAAGCCATTCAATGTGTTAGCTGTAATGATGAAGTTAGCATGTCGTTGTAAACTATATTACAACTCTTTCAACAATAACAAAAACAGAAATTGCTGGAGAAAGTCAGCAAGACAGAACAGTTCCAAATAAGGGTCGCTGGATCCAAAATGTTAAGATCATAAATAAGACCATAAGACACAGGAGCAGAAGTTAGGCCATTCGGCCCATCGAGTCTGCTCTGCCATTCAATCATGGCTCATAAGTGCCTCAACCCCATTCTCCTGCTTTCTCCCCGTAATCCTTGATCCCCTTGATAATCAAGAACCTATCTATCTCAGTCTTAAATGTACTCAATGACCTGGCCTCCACAGCCTTCTGTGGCAGTGAATTCCATAGATTCACCACTCTCTGGCTGAAGAAGTTTCTCCTCATCTCCGTTCTAAAAGGTCTTCGCTTTATTCTAAGGCTGTGCCCTTTGGTCCTAGACTGTTCTACCAATGGAAGCATCTTCCTAACATCCACTTTGTCCAGGCCATTCAGTATTCTGAAAGTTTCAGTTAGATCCCCCCTCAGCCTTCTAAACCCCAATGAGTATAGTCCCAGAGTCCTTAAACGTTCCTCATGTGTTAGGCTTTCCCTTTCCGGGATCATTTGCGTGAACCTCCTTTGAACTCAAAACTGCACACAATACTCCAAATGTGGCCTGACCAGAGCCTTATTAAGCCTCAGTAGTACATCCTTGCTTTTATATTCAAGTCCTCTCAAAATAAATGCCAACATTGCATTTGACTTCCTGACTACTGACTCAACCTGCAAGTTTACCTTGAGAGAATCCCGCACTAGAGCCCCCAAGTCTCTTTGCATTTAAGACTTCTGAATTTTCTCCCTATTTAGAAAATAGTCCATGCTTTTATTCTTCTTACCAAAGTGCATGACCTCGCACTTTCCCACGTTGTACTCCATCTGCCACTTCTTTGCCCACTCTCCTAACCTGTCCAAATCCTTCTGAAGCCTCGCTACCTCCTCAATACTACCTGTCCCTCCACCTATCTTTGTATCATCTGCAAACTTAGCCAGAATGCCCACAGTTCCTTCATCTAGATCATTATTGTACAAAGTGAAAAGTTGTGGCCCCAGCACTGATCCTTGCAGAACACCACTTGCCATTCTGAGAAAGACCCCTTTATCCCCACCCTCTGCTTTCTGCCAGACAGCCAATCTTCTCTCCATGCTTCTTGCTTCTAACACAGTGGGCCCTTATCTTACTCAGCGGCCTTCTGTGTGGCACCTTATCAAAGGCCTTCTTGAAGTCCAGGTAGATAACATCCATTGGCTCTCCTTGGTCTACCCTGTTTGTTACTTCCTCAAAGAATTCTAGCGGATTTGTCAGGCATGACCTCCCATTGATGAAGCCATGCTGACTTTGCCCTATTTTACTGTACACTTCCAAGTTTTCAGAAATCTCATCCTTTACCATGGACTCCAAAATCTTACCCACGACAGAGGTTAGGCTAATTGGCCTGTAATTTTCCGTCTTTTGCCTTACTCCCTTTTTAAACAGGGGTGTCACATTAGCGATTTTAGTAATTAGGGTTCGTCTCGGATAACTTTGATTTCTCTCCACAGATGCTGCCAGACGTGCTGAGATTTTCCAGCAATTTCTATTTTTGTTTCTGATGGTTGGAGTGGACTAATTGGTCCGAATGGTCTGTTTCCATTCTGTATGACTGTGATTCACTTTCCAGCATCTGCAGTGGTTTTGATTTCTTTCCTTTGAACATGATGCTACTTTGTTGATGGTTTTTACAGCACAAAAGTGGAAGTCTCCCTCAATTCGCAGCTTAATGGATTGCGCAATGCAGCTGTCTTTGACAGAATTGCTGACATCAGTTTTCATTTTATGCTGTGAATTTGCAGAGTACTAAAGTTGCTGTTGGTTTTTGTGGAATGCAATTTGTAACTACTACTGCAAAATTCAGGCCTTAATATTTTTGTAGAAATGCCAGAGTATCATATTTCTAGTTAATCTCTCATACATATAACATTTATAATAATTAGTGGTACTTACATCTCCAAAAATTTGCTTTTATTTTCAATTTAAATGCTATCTGCTCCATCTGTCATTTGTAATATAGTTTCAAGCAGGTTTACTTCTAAACATTTCACATATGCTTCACACTTTTGTCGTTGTTAAAAATTTGAGCAAAGTATGATAGTAACAATGCCAAATCATCTTTCTCCATAGGGATGTCGCTTTACTATCCACAAGTGAGAAAGGCTCTTGATTGTATTCTCAGACATTTGGACAAGGAAGTGGGAAGATCAATGAGTATGACTAATGTACAAATGTCTAACAAGGAGCCTGAAGACATGATCACGTAAGCACTGGAATCATAAGCTTGTTTTTAAAGAAATCACATAGGTTAAATATTTTTGGAAATATGAATAGTAATAGCAACTAACATGCTTTCAGTTAGAATTTTAGTATGGTGAGAAAATCTCTTTGAAATGCGTTCATGTGGAATCATGGAATAGTACAACATAGGCACAGCTTATTTGGCTGGTCATGCCTACGTCAACTATTTGGTGTACTTATCCAAACAGTCCAGCTTCCCTGCTCTGCTACAGCCCAATGCTGTGCCAAACCCGCACCACTACCACCACCCCCACCAAACTCCTGGCATTCCCTGGAAGTATTTATCCAGTTCCCTTTTACCAGTTACTGTTGTGCTTTTGTCCCCACCAAACTCCTGGCATTCCCTGGAAGTATTTATCCAGTTCCCTTTTACCAGTTACTGTTGCGCTTTTGTCACTTTTTCACGAAGTGTATTCTAGGCTACAACTTATAAAGCACTTTCTTCCTGTCACCTCTGCTGCTTTTGCAAAGAATTTTTATCTGTGTCCTCATTTTACTGTTCTACTGCTGGAAACCATCTTTATTCACTATCAAAACTATTATTTTGAACACCACTATCTATGTCCTCTAAACCTCTGTTCCTAGGAGAATAACTCATTTTCTCTTGCATTTTCACATAACTGAAGTAATCATCTCATATACGTTGTTATAAACCATAATTATAAATCTCTAAAAAAATGTTTTCTGCATCCGCTGTCTAATATGTGGTGCCCAGAATAGAGCACAGTACACCAACTGGGGCCTGATCAGTGTTTTATGAAGGTTTAATAATAAAACCAAAGATGTTATTTGTTTTATGTTTTAAATGTCACTCTTATCAACTTGTCCTACCAGCTTCAAGGTTTTGTGTGCCGCAAGTTTTTCTGATGCTTCACTAATTTTAATACCACTTAGTTAATATTGTGTTTATTCATCTTCTCACCAAAATATCTCACTTCACACTGCTTTTGTTTAATGTTATCTGTAACGCGTCTGTCTGTTTTGTAAGAATTTTTTCTTCCTGAAGTCTTATTACTCTCCGCATTGTTTTCTGAATTTCCAAGTTTTACTTCATTGAGCTTTGAAATATGGTTTCAATTTAAATTCTAGACATTAATATGTAACAATAGAATAATGATCCTAAACCAAGATTGAGAAGAACACAATTTTGTTTTATTTTAAAAATATACTTTATTCGAAGAAAATTATTTTGTGTACATTCAAAGGTACTAAAGCACTTCTGTACATATAAAGAAAAACAGACATTGGAATTTGACCTGACCTGCAGTTGCAAAACCAAAAGCATTTCCTACTCATGCAGGAAATTATTTGCATACATTTTGAGACAAAGAGAGGGTTTGATAACTGAACGAACCCTCATCATACCTCCTCAACTTCCTGCATGTAGGCAATCAATAGTGAGGTTCTCAAAGATCTTCCTCCTGGTCAGTTTTCCCTGTCTCTCTCACCTTCTGAATACTTTTGAAGATGACGACTGTCTTGATGTTCCCATTGACTGTTTCCTATCTGTCTGTTAGAGATTTAAAAGAGGGGCCTTATGGTTCTCCATCCTGTGTAACCCCTTTTGACCATCTGAATGTCTTCTGGGGTCAGTGGTTTCATGTTCAGCTTCCACGTTCTCTTGTTGTCCTGCTTGTTGCCCTGTAAGTGACAATTGGCCAACAGGAGGCAGTGGCCAAAGAAGAACTCCTGCTTGACATCAGATCTGACTGAGAACGCTCTGTCTGACATCATGCAGCTTGGCGTCTTCACCCATTTCCATCAGGAATCTGGACATCATGCCCAGTTTGCTGTTAGTCCCTCCGGATCGTCCAGCCACGTCGACGATGTGGTTGAAGTCTCCCCAGAATGATCAGCCTGGGAGCTGTTGTAGGATGGCCAGCTGCTCACTCTTTTTACTGCCTGGATGTACATATTAATTAGTCCTAAGGAAGCGTTTCTGTACAAAATGTTTGTTATGAGAAGGCGCCCGGCCATTACCACCTTAACATCAAAGTTGCTTCCCTGCAGCAGAATACCCAGGCTGGAGGAACAGTACTCGCTATCCCCCGACCAAATCAACGGCCTGTGGGCCCAAAGCTCAACCATTTCCTGTAGTTCCTGAGGTGCGGTATCCCACACTCCTGCAGAAAGAGGTCTGCTTTGATTTGGACAGCTCAGTCAACATTGAAACACATTGTGTAGTGGCTTTTATGCTGCACACATTTACACTGGCAATTTTCAAACCCATTTTTGAAGATCTTTAAGATGATCAATTTGGCTGGTATCTGTTTTCCTGCAATCTTGTCACTGGGAGGTGCTCTTGCAGCCTGTGGTATGGGCAAATTGCTGCACCTTTGCAGGACTGAGATAGCTATCCTGTTCCTCCCTGGGGGTGTTGTCGCAATCAGGCGTTATCAGGGTGTTATCCTTACTTTCAGTCTGCAAAGCCACATTCACTATCCATATTTTCTGTCCCTTTGTTAACTTCATATCACCTTGACAGTGTCCCTTTAATTCCAAGGGCTTTAATTTTGTCAACAGCTTTCGTATGTGGTACTTAATTAAAACCATGTTGAAAGTCTATTTCATAAAAGAATTCAATCCAAGAAAAGCAAACATTTTTTTGTAGCAATCCACGATACCTTTGAGTTACTGGCCCTATTTTCCATGTTTACTGAAGGGCATAATGCTGGTTGGTTTTTGTTTGCATTCGGGTGTATAAGTTAAGACACAATATGATGTTTTAGAGAATGGCTTTTGCATAAGTGTGTGCAGAATCAGGTTTTTATATTGTGTCTAATTTGTTTGAGTTGATTGTTCTTGCACGCTTTTATGAAAGAGAACTGATCATAAAGCATTCTGTTGCCTTCAAAACCTCCATGCCTCCCTTCAGTTAGGAGGCCTTCAGCAATGTGTATTCATTCGTGGCCAATGAAATTCCCAGCGTCCTTAACTGTCAGCTGTATGTTTTGTTTGCCTCTATTTAATGAAGAATTATAGCACGATTGAGCAAATGTTTCACACCTTTGTTACAGTTCAGCTGAAGTTGAACTGTAGTTCTGAGTTCCTTGAGGAATATCTGTTTAAATAAAATTTGAGTCTTTAATTTTTAACCTATTGCAGTCATAAGATGTAGTAAATTATATTGTGTTCAGTTGTGAACTGCATATGTCATATGAATGTATTACAAGTCATTATAATAATTTATATATTACTGCAGATGAAATTTACCGTAATGATACAAAAGCCGAGCTAACTATAAGCTTCAGTTATATGGCAAAATGAAGCTGGGGTTGTTTCCTTACTGCAAATGGGTCCAGGGGAAATTTGGAGGTGTTCAAAATTATGAAGGTTTAATAGAATAGATATGAGGAACTGTTTCCACAAGGAGGATGATCAGAGGAAATAGATTTAAGATAATTGGAACAAAGAATGTCTGGGGGAAATGAGAAGTTATTTTATGACCTGGAATGTGTATCCTATAAGTGTGGTAGCAGTAGACTGAGCAAACTTTCAAAAGGAAGTTGATTATGCCAATGTAAAGAGAGGTAAACACACCTTATGATTAGCAGACCAATAGGTGAAAGAAAATGAAAATAATTTCAGCAATGTCCTTTGGCCTGAAGACTGAATACAAAAAGCAGCAAAGAATGACCAAGAAAAGTGAGGGAGGAAGCAGTGTATGAGAGAAGGTTGGATAGAAATATAAAAACAAATCATTATAGTTCTGCAATTCTTTCAGTGTAAATAAAGGGAACATTGGTCCTCCAATGAGCAAGTCTGACAAACAGGAGGGAGGAAATGAAAGTGCAAGTGTTATCTGTATGATTGCGTGGAAGGTGCCATGGGGCGTGGTGATGAAGTGTTTGGAGTGATGGAGGAATGAACCAAGGTGTCATGGAGAGAATGTTCTCTGTGGGATATTGACAGTGGAGGGGAGAGGAAGATGTTTTTTTGAGGCAGTGTCCTGTTGGAGATGGCAGAGGATGATGCTTTGCATGTGGAGACTGGTGGGGTGGAAAGTGAGGACAAGGAGAGCCCAATCATTGTTCTGGGAGGGAGGGAAAGTGGTAAGAGCGGACCTGCAGGAAATAGTTCGGACATGGCTGAGGGCCACAGTAGGGTGGAGGCTAGAGGGGAGAGTGCTTGGTAAAGTGAAAAAGGAGGACATCTCGCAAGCATCCTGGTGAAAGTTGACATCATTGGCAATGTTCCATATGAGAACAGGAAGCTGTACCGATGACATAAAACCTTTGTAGGACTAAAAGAAATCATGTTCCAGATACTCCACAAAGAGGCAAGTCTAACAGGGTACACCTTTGATGTGAAGAAAATGAAATGAGTTAATGGTTCAAAGTGAGAACAAGCTCGGCCAAGCAAAGGAGGGTGGTAGTGAATGGAGCACTATATAAGCCTCTTTTTACGAAAGAAGCAGAGAACCTTCAGACCATCCTCGTGGGAAATGGACATATTGAAGGATTGCACCTCAATGGTGAAGTGGAGGTGGTTGAAAGTTGTGGAACCAACATAAAACATCACAAAAATGACAAGTATAAGTGGGAAGAGACTGAACAAGACATAAAAATATAGAGTCAAGGTAGGAAGAAATAAGACCATTGACACAGGAACTTGCTGAAAAGACGGGTCTGCCCAGGCATCCTCTAGTGGATTTTGGAAAGGAGATAGAAACAGGCTGTGCAAAATTGAGAAACTACAAGGAGGAATTAGTGGAAGGAGATCTTCAGGGGAGGTCAGTGACAGTCCTTGAAACAATACCGGATGCTGAAACAAAAACAGAAGTTGCTAGAGAAACTCTGCGGGTCTGGCAGCATCTGTGGAGAGAAAGCAGAGCTAACGTTTTGGGTCCAGTGACTCAGTTCCAAAGAATTGTCACTAGACGTGAAACATTAACTCTGCTTTCACTGCACAAATGCTGCCAGACCTGCTGAGTTTATCCAGCAATTTCTGTTTTTGTTTCAGGTTTCTGCATCTGCAGTTCTTTGTTTTTGTACAGCATACTGAAAGCTTGTTTCCTTTTGTGGAAGAGACAAAAGGTAGAGGAAAAGGTTTAAAAAATAATGTGTCTCTCATTTAAGGTGGTGAGAATGCAGCTTTGCTTTGAGGCGGATAGGCAATGGCCTAGTGTTAATATCATTAGACTATTAATCAGAGACCCAGGTGATGTTATAAGGACTTTGGTTCAAATCCCACCACAGCAGATTGTAGAATTTGAGTTCAGTACAAATCTGGAATTAATAGTCGAATGATGATCAAAAACAAAGTTGCTGGAAAAGCTCAGCAGGTCTGGCATCATCTGTGAAGGAGAAAACAGTGTTAACGTTTCGGACCCGAAACTTTGTTTTTGTTCCTGATTTACAGCATCCGCAGTTCTTCTGGTTTTTTTTTTAGTCGAATGATGATGTCAGTTCTTTGGGTGGGTGAGCAATTAGAGATGACCAATATATGCTGGCCTAACCACCAATACCCACATCCCATGAATGAATGGATACAAAAAATGGTTCATGAATCTTTGGAGCACTTCATTGAATATTTTTAAGGCAGACATCGCTTTTTGGTTAACAATAGAGTTGAGGGTATGGGGGTAGGCAGAGAAGTGGATTTGCAGCCACAATCAGATCAGACCCAATTTTGTCAATGTTGGAGCAGTCTCGGCACTGAAGTAATGCTCCTCATTTCTGTGTTTGTATGTTTAATGTGGTTAATATTTTCATCATGTTTTCATGTTATAATAGAGGTGAACGAAAGCCTAAGATCGATCTCTTCCGGACGTGTGTGGCTGCTATTCCCAGGCTGATTCCTGACGGCATGAGCAGGGCAGAACTTGTTGAACTCTTGGCAAGGTGATGCATTTATTTTACTTAAAAAAAAAAAAGAGTTACTGGTTATAGATGTTAGATGTTACACATTACATGCATGTTGCAATGCACAAAGCATTGAATTGCATATCAAGTGAATCTTAAGATATCTCTAGATCAGCAAGATGTGTGGCAGCAAAATAGAAATCCATCCCCGTGTGGAGCAGACCAATCATACTCATGCTCATTCAGTCAATTATACCAATCTGCAATCCTTGAGTGAGTGTGCCTGTGTATCTTTAACCAGCATTATGAATTTTCTGAGGAGACATACTTTCAAAGCTTTTCATCTTGTACTCATCAGGAGGAGTGCAAGAATGACCAGTTCAAGTTATCACAACAGTTTATACTACATGATTAAAAAGGTGCTAATTATTTGGCAAGTTGGTGTGCAAGGTGTGCAATGGACAGTGGACAAAGGACAAAGAAACAAATGACTCACTAAAGTCCCAGGTCGTTCAAAAAAATGCTGTGTTGCCTATGGATGCATGTTGCTAATAGCAAGCAGAAATAAGTCACATTCTGTGATCGCCTGATCAGATTACTATTCACTGTGTATTGTTCAACCTTGTAAATGCCCAAAACCCACCACTTTATGATCTGAAAATTTTCTACTCTACCTCCAAATACGTTGATAATTAACAAGTTAGGTAAGTCATCTATTCTACTACTACTTATTGACTGTGCTCATGGTATTTTCCACTAACAGAATGCTATTGTTGGTCCAAACAGACACACTGACTACCGTACAATTGTACAGTGTTGTGTATTAATTTCACTGACAGAGGAATATCAGATACATGAGCTGTGCTTCCCAATGATTAACTGATTGATTTAATGAGTAGATTCCTTTTGTTTGTTCATAATGATCAGCAAAACATAAATCAATAACAAAAACAGAAATGGCTGGAAAAGCTCAGCAAGTCTGGCAGCATCTGTGAAGAAAAGTCAGAGTCAACATTTAGGGTCCGGTGACCATTCACGTGGATCACCAGAAGTGAACCGTTAACTCTTACTTTTCTTCACAGATGTTGCCAGACCCGCTGAGCTTTTCCAACAACTCCTGTTTTTATTCCTGATTTACAGCATCGACAGTTTTTTTGGTTTTTACATAAATCAATAAGTTTGCTCTTGGATACGATTCCAGGATTGGGCAGGACTAGCTAAACTGTATTGAATGTGTAAATAGTTTAAGGTGATCAGTTGAACTCATACTGGGGCTAATTTACATTTGCTGATAGTGACCTACGTTCACATGCAGGGATCCATTCTCTGCAAACAAAAGGTATGGGCTCAAGCCTTGCACCATTATTTGAATTGCCCAGGAGTTTGGGGAGTCTATAGTTCCGGTGCTGAGTCCATGGCAATGCCTTGGCCAGAGTTGATTCAGTAACTAATAGGCTCCCCTTTTACCTCTTGTATATCTTGTGATCATTAGAGAATTAACAATCTTGTGTTTATTCTGATAAGCATAAGAAAAACAGATTCATCAATTATCAACTTCTGTGCTACCAGGTGACCATTGTAAAATTGCTGCTTTTAAAATTATGAGAGCAAACCTTGACTTTCAAAGAAGGAAACAACTGATGTTGGAAAATGACACCCAACTTAAGCCTGAGATAAAATGCTGATAACCTGAAGCAGTAACTCCATTTTCTTCTCCATAACTGCTTCTGTATTTTCATTTTCTTTTTCTTTTATTTAAGACTTAATAACATATGTCTTTATAACTCTGGAGAGGAATATATAATGAATTTGTATTCATGGTAATTAGGCATAATATTTACTTTGTTTTGTAGACTCACCATTCACATGGATGAAGAGCTTCGTGGTTTGGCATTCACTACTCTACAAGCTTTAATGGTTGATTTTCCAGACTGGAGGGAGGATGTTTTGTCAGGGTTTGTGTCATTCATTGTCAGAGAAGTGAACGATGTCCATCCAACGCTCCTAGATAACTCTGTCAAGATGTTAGTCCAATTAATAAACCATTGGAAACAAGCAGTTCAATCTCAAATGAAAGGTCACGATTCCCAGGTAAAGATGAAATTTATGTTGAATCTGCACCACTTCATTACACAGTTCAACCACTAATTTGTTTTGTGACCTAACACTTCGTACTTAGTAACTGATCTACTATCCACAGCGTGGAGTTCCTAATGGAACTGCCCACACATTACCAGTGGAACGGAGCCCTTATTCATCAGTCTTCCATGCAGCAGAAGGTTTTGCCTTAGTGGTTCTCTGCAGCTGTCGGCCAGCCACCAGGAGACTTGCTGTCAACATTCTAAGAGAGATTAGGACTTTGTTTACAGCTTTGGGTGTTTCAAAGGTTAGTACTAACCAACAGATTTTGCTGCATTATTAACAGTTATGTGATGCAGACTAATTTTGTAATTCTTTTACTGCTCATTATTAACCGATTCAAAGAAAAAAATGATCTGTATTTATAATATCAGGGGCATATGCTTACTTACAGGTAAGTCTTTGAAATTAAAGTTTGTTTTGACCAGCATTTATAACACCAATCGTCCTTGGATTGTTATATCAGAAATTGTTTAACTGAAGCTACTTGTGTTGTTATTTAGAAACGTAACTTAGTACTGTATTCAATTAGATCCATCAGAGTTTGCAAAACAAAATGGCACAAACATTTGTATTCAGCCCATTTGTCCAAACCTAAATCTATAGTGCTGTCTTCCTTTACTTCACATATTTACTCAACTGTCCTTTGGAATAAGAACATAAATAAGAGCAGGAGTATGCTATTTGGCCCCTCAAACTTGCTGCACTATAAGGTCAGGGCTAACTAAACTCCACTTTCTTGCTTGCCCTCCATAACCCTTGACTCCAGTGTAGACCAAAAATCTGTCTAATGTGGCCTTGAGCATATTCAAAACTTATTGACTACATTTAAAATAAAGGTAATGGTCTCTTCGTCAATCATTCCTTGTGGAAAAGTGTCTCCAGCTCTAAAATATGAGTCTAACCCTTTTGCTCACTGGTGGATCATTTTAAATAAAACTTCTAAACACATAAATAGTTTTTCCCTATTCATTTTATCAAGATCTCTCCTAATCTGACCACTTTCAACAGTCTAGAAAACAGACTTGACTGATCTGAGTTTGTGAATGAATAATCTAATGAACTGCATTAAGAGTTAGCAAGTATAATATGAGGATAGAATTCAAAATATCAGATAAAACAGTCATAAGTTGGACTTGAGATCCCAATTCTCAAATATTCTTTTTCTCAGTAGGTCAAAGGCTGAGCTAGTAAAATGTAGATAATGAAGAATTACATCATCTATGTCCCCATTCATTGAGATGAGACCTCAGTGTTATGGAAAATGAATGAATAATTTTATTGTCACTTGTCACATATATCTCGAAGATACAGTGAAAAGTGTTTTGTCACCACAGCCTGGCGCCATCTTAAGCTATAAAAAGAATAAAAATAAATTACTTAAATAGGAGTTAATTTGCTGTTCAAATTGGATCCCAAGGACAGCTCCAAGGCTTCTGCAAGATCTTTGGAAGGTGTTTCGGTCTTCAAGGAGCTCCAGGAACAGCAATGATGACACCGGGGCCCCAGAAGACCCTGGCTCTGCTGCCGTCTAACACCGCCAAGAGTCCAAGCTGTGGCTGTACTGCTGTCAGAAGTCCCTGCTCCAGGCACTGCTGCCGCTACCAGGATCCACACGTCCATCATCAGCCTTGAACTACATTATTCAGGATCTCACTGTTGTTCCTGACAGGATTCATCACAAATTCAAGAAAATTGCAAGGAACACTGACCTTGTAAAGCTTTTGACTCAGTCGATCATAGTCTTACCAAGTATCCTCCTCAAATTTGGCTACCCTTAGGAAATTGTCACTCTCCTTCGTCTAGTCCCAATGGCGTGCAAGCTGTGATCATTATGCACAAAACTGTCACAGAGCCCAGTTCTTTGACAACACAGGTTAAACAAGGTTGTGTCATTGCAGCAACTCTTGTCTTCATTTCACTTGCTACAATACATATCGGATGATGGTGTAGATTTGATTCAATAGACTAGTAATCCAGAGGAACAAGCTCTGCACTGGAGATGTAGGTTTGAACCTGTTGGAATTTAATTTTTTTCATTTGTGGGATGTGAGCATCACTGCCTGGCCAGCATTTCTTGCCCACCCCTAGTTGCCCTTGAGAAGGTGGTAGGGAGCTGCCTTCTTGAACCGCTAAATCCTCCTGCTGTAGGTCGACCCGCAATGCTATTAGGGAGGGAATTCCAGGATTTTGACCCAGTGAAGTGAAGGAACGGCGATATATTTCCAAGTCAGGATGGTGAGTAGCTTGGAGGGAAACTTGGACGTGGTGATGGTCCCATATGTCTGCTGCCCTTGTCCTTCTAGATGGAAGTGGTCGTGGGTTTGGAAGGTGCTGTCTGAGGATCTTTGGTGAATTTCTGCTGTGCACCTTATAGATAATACGCACTGCTGCTACTGAGTGTTGGTGGTGGAGAGAGAGGATGGTTGTGGATATAGTGCCAATCAAGTGGGCTGCTTTGTCCTGGATGATGTCAACCTTCTTGAGTGTTATTGGGGCTGCACTCAGCCAGGAAAGTGGAGAGTATTCCATGTGTCTTGTAGATGGTGGACAGGCTTTGAGGAGTCAGGAGGCGAGTTACTCGCTGCAATATCCCTAGCTTCTCGCCTGCTCTTGTAGCCACTGTGTTTATGTGGTGAGTCCAGTTGAGTCTCTGGTCAATGATAACATCCAGGATGCTGATAGTTGGGGACTCAGTGATGGTAACACCATTGAATGTCAAGGAGCAGTGGTATGATTGTCTCTTATTGGTGATGGTCATAGCCTGGCGTTTGTGTGGCATGAATGTCACTTGCCACTTGTCAGCCCAAGCCTGGATATTGTCCAGATCTTGTTGCATTTGAACATGGACTGCTTCAGTATCTGAGGAGTCACGAATGGTGCTGAACATTGTGCGGTCATCAGCGAACATCCCCACTTCTGACCTAATGATGGCGGGAAGGTCATTGATGAAGCAGCTGAAGATGGTTGGGCCCTAGGACATTACCCTGAGGAACTCCTGCAGAGATGTCCTGGAGCTGAGATAATTTACCTCCAGCAACCACGACCATCTTTCTATATGTTAGGTATGACTCCAACCACCGGAGAGATTGCCCCCTGATACCCATTGATTTCAGTTTTGCTAGGGCTCCTTGATGCCACACTTGGTCAAATGCAGCCTTGATATCAAGGGTTGTCACTCACCTCACCACTGGAAATCAGCTCTTTTGACCATGTTTGAACCAAGGTTGTAATGAGATCAGGAGTTGAGTGGCCCTGGCAGAGCCCAAACTGGGCATCGCTGAGCAGGTTATTGCTGAGTAGGTGCTGCTTGATAACACTGTTGATGACACCTTCAATCACTTGACTGACGACTGAGAGTAGACTGTGGTAATTGGCTGGGTTGGATTTGTCCTGCTTTTTGTGTACAGTCATCCTTGGGCAATTTTCTACACTATTGGGTACATACTAGTGTTGTAACTGCACTGGAACAGCTTGGCCAGGGGAGCGGCAAGTTCTGGAGCACAAGTCTTCAGTACTATTGCCGGAATGTTGTCAGGGCCTGTAGCCTTTGCAGTATCCAGTGTCTCCAACCGTTTCTTGATATCACGTGGAGCGAATCGAATTGGCTGAAGACTGGTATCTGTAATGGTGGGGACCACTGAAGGAAGCCGAGAAAGATCATCCACTAGGCACTTTTGGCTGAAGATTGCTGCGAATGCTTCAGCCTTAACGTTTGCACTGATGTGCTGGGCTCTTCCATCATTGAGGATGGGGATATTTGTGGAGCCTCCTCCTCCAGTGAGTTGTTTAGTTGTCCACCACCATTGACAACTGGATGTGGCAGGACTGCAGGGCTTAAGTCTGATCCGTTGGCTGTGGGATCGCTTAGCTCTGTCTATCACTTGCTGCCTTTGCTGTTTGGCTTGCAAGTTGTCCTGTTTGGTGGCTTCACCATGTTGATACCTTATCTTCAGGTATGCCTGGTGCTGCGCCTGGCGTGCCCTCCTGCACTTTGCATTGAACCAGGGATGATCCCCTGGCTTGATGGTAACGGTTGATTGAGGGATATTCCAGGCCATGAGGTTACAGATTGTGCTGGGGTACAGTTCTGCTGCTGTTGATAGCCCCCAGTGCCCAGTCTTGAGTTGTTAGATCTGTGCGAAGTCTGTCCTATTTAGCATGGTGATAGTGTCACACAACACAACACAACACAACACAACACAATGGGAGTTATTCTCAACGTGATGGCGGGACTTCGTCTCCACAAGGGCTGTTCGATGGTCACTCTTACCAATATTATCATGGACAGATGCAACTGCAGCTGGCAGATTGGGAAGGATGAGGCCAAGTATGATTTTCCCTCTCATTGGTTTCCTCACCACCTGCCGCAGACCCAGCCTAGCAGCTATGTCCTTTAGGACCCAACCAGCTTGATCAGTAGTACTGCTGCTGAGCCACTCTTGCTGTTGGACATTGAAATCCCCCATCCAGAGTACATTTTGTGCCCATGCCATCCTCAGTGCTTCCTGGAAGTGTTGTTCAACATTGAGGAGTACTGATTCAATTAAATTCAATTAATTAATCTGAAAGTTACTCTCTGTTTTTGATTGTAATTTAAAAGAAGTCTGGTTCACTTATGTCCATAAGGAAAGAAAATCTGTCTGGTCAGGTCTATATGTGTCTGCAGACTGAGAGTAATGTGGTTACTGTTAACTAATCTCTGATGTAGCCTAATTAGCCATTTAGTTCAAGGTCATTTGGGATGGGCAATAAATGTTGGCCTTACCAACAATACCCACGTCCCATGAAGAACAATGAAAAAAAACTCCACTACAGCAAAATATCTACAGGCATGCAGATAAATTACAAAAGAAATAGGAAACTGTTAAATCTTTGCCACCTTCAATCCAAAACTCGGTCACTTCAACCTCAGTCATTGAGCTTCAGTGTGCAAATGACACTTTGATGTGTGTGCATTGAGAACCAAGGTCCAGGTCATTATCGATTCCTTCTCTAAACATATGAGAAATGACCTTTCATTAAACACCTAGGAAAACAAGTTCCACTTCCAACCTGCTCGATTAGCACAACACTGCATCAACTAATTTCCCTTCATCCACCCTTTAATTAAGCTCTCCGACAATAGATTTGGCAAACATGATTTGCCTGTTGTCTGTCTGTCTTGACTGTCTAGTTATACTATGCTCTGTTGCCTTATCCAATAACAGATTCTAGCATTTTCCAAACACTAATGTCAAACTAAGTGGCGTATAGTTCACTGTTATCTGTGTCTCTCATATATTAAAACATAGAAGATTTTTGGGAGAATTGACTGGGTAGATGTGGAAAAATTGTTTCCCCTTGTAGGAGAATTGAGGACATGGGGCCATTATCTCAGAACAAGAGGCCCCACATTTAAGATGGAGTCTTGGAGGATTTTCTTTTCTAAGGATGATTTTGATTTTATTGTCACGTGTATTTTACAGTAAGAATATAATAAAATACAGTGAAAGTCTTTCATTTGTCACCATAAAAAGGTGCCATTTTAAATAGTTTAAGAATAAGAAAAAAATGTATAGCTTGAAGAGAGCCCATTAGTCCTTAGCCAGCTCATCACCTTCAATGACACTTGCGCTGCCATCCCTCCACTACACCTTTGCCACTATCTACACCAGACCCAAGTAACATCAAAGTTGCCATCGTCAGGTGCCATCTTTGCTGCTGGGCCAATGGCAAGTGCATCTGTGGAATTCTTTACTGCAGAGGGCTGTTGAGGATGGATTATTCAGTGTATTCAATGCTAAGATTGATTCCCTTATTGATTAAAAATCTGTGGCTGTGGGTAAAAGGCCGGAAAGTGGAGTTGAGGATTATCAGATCAGCCGTGATCTCATAGAATGGCCTGCTTGTTTTCCTACATCCAATGGACTTACTTGATTATATGCTTAAATGTTCTGCCTTCTATAACCCATGATGACTGTTCGGAAGTGTAGAGCATTCTGGAAGATTAGAACCAATGCATCCACAATCTCTGCATCCCTAAGTCAATGCATCTGAAATCTTCAGGACATCCACCATTATGTAAGGTGTCAGTGCTATAATTTCTTATGTATTTTGCTGGAATTCCAACCAGTTACATTGATGTTCCTGCTAGTTTGCCTAATAGGCAGCAATGTGTGCCTATTATTTTTACGATGCTGTAGTCCAAATCCATTATTCAAATTAGCGAAATGGTGCAGCTGAGAAATTTTCTTTCGTTTCAGGGAGATGAAGAGCTGACAATTGATGTCATGGATCGATTAAGCCCTTCCATCTTGGAAAGCTTCATACACCTTACTGGAGCAGACCAGGTAGATCAATGAGCTGGAATTGTTTGATACTTCATTCTTTGAAGGTCAACGTCGCTTTAGCAATTTTGACAGTATTAACAAACGTTTTGTGAATTATGTATTTAAACTTTTTTGCCCAACATTGGTTCTGTCTTCAGCTAGTGAATACTAAAGATGCAAAACAATTTATACACACCTGTAATGATCCCAGACTGACAATTTGATAAGCTCTGGTTTAGAACCAGTGAGTTTTTTTAAGGAGAAATATTGTAACATCTAGGTACTCACTTAGAGCATAAAGCAAAGGATACCGTGGATTTGAAAGAAACACAGTAGTAATCTTTATTAGACAAAGTTAGAACAATAACACAATCTGCAGTACATGTCAAACTTACGTTTTAACAGAAATGGGGGAGGGGAAGGGGGATCTGAAATAAATAAAGAGGGGGAGGACGGTGATAGCAGGTAGGTCGTGGTGGGGATTGGTCAGTGAGGTGGGAGGAGCGGATAGGTGGGAGAGAAGACGGACAGGTCAATGAGGGGGATGGGGGGGTGCTGGTTTTGGGATGAGTTCGGGGCTGGGAAGATTTTGAAGTTAGTAAAGTCCACATTGACACCATTGGGTTGTAGGCTTCCAAGGCGGAATATGAGGTGCTGTACCTCCAGTTTCCGGGTAGCATCGTTGTGACACTGAAGGAGGCCCAGGATGGACATGTCGTCTAGGGAGTGGGAGAGGGAGTTGAAGTGGTTCGAGACTGGGAGGTGTTGTTGTTTGTCGCCAACTGAGCGTAGGTGCTCTATAAAGAGTCTCCGAGCCTCCGCTTGGTCTCACCGATGTAGAGGAGGCCACATCGGGAACAGCGGATACAATAGACCACATTAGTGTTTTAACATCCCTTTCCAATTAGATTGAGGAAAATGTAGGTAAATGGCACACTGTGGTCAAACACTCCACTGCGTACAAAAAGCACGTGCAGTCAAGAAATCCCATGGATTTCTCAGCAGACCCCATTTTCCCATCTCCGTTACTGTTGAAAACAGGGCTTCAGAACTTCCTCAAAAGCTGCCCTGTCACATACAGCCTCAGCAACTGCTCACATTCTTAGAGCTCACTCTCCCAGTTGGAGACTAGGCACCCCTAAATTATGGAAACTGCACTCCAGCGCCTACTCAGAAGTACAATTTCAGCTTTTCACAGACACGTAGCTTCACCACACTAGTACTGCATCTGTATTTCTCTAATCTTGTTAAGCTGCACAAAACAAACATTGCTTATGGGCTTCGTTCACTCACAGTTGCACATCTTCTGAGCCTTAGAGGTTCCAGGTTGTTTCCTGAGCCCTAATTCAAACATAACAGATTTCTCCTCTGTATGCCTCTGTCCAACTGTTTATAATTGACTGTTCAGTAACTCTTGCACTTAATTATTTGGTAGCACAGAACTTGAGTATTTCTCAAATTTTGGCAAGCTTTTTTGTCTTGTACTCATCTGGACAGTTTGCAAGGAATACTAAATGAAAGGGAAAGCAACGTTGGTATTGTATAAGAGTGTTGGTTGTTAGGCAAGTGTACTCTGACAGAACCACTGCCATGGAGAATGAACGATTAAGTAATGAATGACAGTTAACTGCCAAGCTTTGTTTTAATTTCAAAGCAGCCTCGTTAACTGATTACTGCAGGTATTGTCCTGAGAAATGAACCAAAAAATGTCTGTCATGTATTTTGTTGTGTTGAAATAGGCACAGAGAATGTATGTACTGTTCCTATCTGCAAAGTACAGGACCCTGCCTTAATAATTTAGTAGTTCCAGTATTTGTAATTGCAGCATACCACGAATCTGACTGACAAACCCAAATTGGTTAACGGCATAATTCTTCATTCATTCATGACTGTGTCACAAATATTGTCTAATTGCCATATCTGTTTTAGTGTTGGACAGTGTGTTCAGTGTATTCTAAGTTTACAAGCATGGTCTAGATTGGTACAGTGCTTACTGTGTTGCGAACAGCTGAAGAGGCATGTTGTTCGATCCTATCATAAGATGCATGGAACAAGAGTAGGCCATTGGCCCCTCAAGCTTGCTTCACTATTCAGTAGGATGGTGGCTGATCGACATTCCTCATGTCCACTTTCCTGCCCTTTCCCCATCACCCTGGATTCCCCTACTGATCAAGAATCTGTCTATCGATCTATCTCAGCTTTAATATACAGAAGAACTCTGGCCCCACAGCTGTCTGTGGCAAGGAGTTCCAAACACACCCAACCTTCTGGAAGTAAAAAATCCTCCTTACCTCAGCCATTAAATTGGCACCCCTTTATTCTGAGACAATGCCTTCTAGTCCTAGACCACCACCACTGAGGGGAAAAATCCTCTCAGCATGTCTTGAAGAACGCAACATGTTTCAATGAAATCTCCTCTCATTTTCCTAAACTCTGTTGAGTAGAGTCCCAACCTGATATCTTTTCTTAAATAAGGAGACCAAAATTGCTCACTCTATTCCAGATGTGGTCTCTTATGTGGTTACAGTGAGACCTCTCCCCTCTAAATAAGGGCCAACATTCCATTAGCCTTCCTAATTACTTGCTGCACCTATGTGTTAGCTTTCTGTGTTTCATGCACAAGTACCCTCAAAGTCCTTTGTGTTGCAGCCTTCTGCAGTTTCTCTCCATTTAAATACTATCCTGTTTTCCCCCTTCTAAATTCAGTAAATGCTCATTTTCCAAATTATATTCCTTTTTCCAATTTTTTTGCCTATTTATTTAAACTATCACAATCTGTCTGTCAACTATTTCTATCCTTCTTGCAACCTGTCTTTCTACCTATCTTGCATCATTTGTAAATCTGGCTAAAGCACATTCTTTTTCTTCCTTCTAGTCATTAATATCTATTGTAAACAGTTGCGAACCACTGATCCCTGTGGATCTCCACTGGTTGTGGATCACCAACCTGAAAAAGAACCCCTTATCCCCAATTGCTGCTTCCTGTCCACTTACCAATTCTCTATCCTTACCAAGATATTACCTCCAACACAGTGGGCTGTTAACTTATGACATAACCTTTTGATAGGTACCTTGCCAAACACCTCTGAAATTCCAAATACAACGCGTCTACTGGTTCCCCTCTTTGCACTCCGTTTTTTTCCTCAAAGAAACTCTAATAAGTTAGACACGATTTCCCTTTCATGAAACCATGCTGACTCTGTTTGATTAGATTATGATTTTTCAAATGTTCTGCTATTACATCCTTAATAATTGATACCAATATTTTTCCAACAATAGATGTTAGGCTAATCGGCGTATAGTTACCTGCTTTGTGCCTCCCTCTCTTTTTGAATGGTGTGCCACAGTAGCTGTTTTCCAGGCCTCTGGTATTTCTCTAGAATCCAGTGACTTTTGGAATATTACAACAAATGCATCCATGATCTCTGTAGCTACGTCTTTTAGCATCCTAGAATGTAAACCATCAGGCCAAGGGCCTATCTGCCTTTAGCCCCGTTAATTTGCCTAATGCTACTTCTTTAGTGATGGTGACGGTACTTAATTCCTCCCCCATATTCTTTAGTATTAATGGGATGTTCAAAGTGTCTTCCACCATAAAGACTGAAAAATACCTGCCAAAACCATCTCCCTGATTCATTTTCTACTGAGACTGTGTTAACTTTGACCTCTCTCTTTCTCTTTGTCAGTTTTTATATTCCTTGCTAGTTTGCCCTTATAGTTTATTTTCTCTGTCTTTTGTTATCTTCAGTTCTCTTTTGCTGGATTCTGAAATTATCTCCGTTTTCGAGGCCTCACTGAATTTGGTCTCCTGTATATGCTTTTTCTTTCAACTTCATACTCTCGTTAACATCCTTGTTTAGCCATGGTTAGTTTATCCTTCTTTTAGAATCTTTCCTCCTTACTGGATGTATTTTTGCTGCGGGTCATGAATTACTTGCTGAAATGTCTGCCATGGCTAATCTATCTGCCCAGTTCACTTTAGCTAACTCAATCTTCATTTCATTGTAATCCCTTTTTTTCCCCAAAAGTTAAACACCGTTGTTTCAAAACCAAGTTTCTCACTCTCAAACTGAATATATTATGATCACTACTTTCCAGGGGATCTTTTACTCCGAGATTATTTATTAAATGTGCCTCATTTTCCATTACCAGATAACCTGTTTCATCGTTGGCCCCAAAACACGTTGCTCTGGGACACGGTCTCTAATGCACTCACTGAATTTGTCGTAGCTACCCTTTCCAATTTGATTAACCCAATCAACATGAAGATTAAAGTCACCTATTTATTATTGCTCTATTCCTAATATGTGCTCCTTTAATTTTTTGATTTATATAGCCTTTTACACAGATTGGCTACTGTTCGAGGTCTTTACACTACTACCAATATCTTCCTTCCCTCGCTTTTTTTGTTAACCTCTGCCCAAATAGACTCTACATCATGTGAAACTAGATCATTTCTCACAACTGTGCTCATTTCTTATTTAACAGTGCTTGCCTGCCTCCTTCTCTTTCTCTTTTCTCTCCCAGCTGGAAATTCTTACTTCAGTTCAAAGAAAGCCAGATACTCCAACAGAAGTGTCTGGTTTGTGCAGCTTTCACGCCAGTAAAGCTTGGTTAGAAATCTGCAAGTTATTGGAACTGGAACAAAAACAAAAGTTGCTGGAAAAGCTCAGCAGGTCTGGCAGCATCTGTGAAGGAAAAAAATCAGAATTAATGTTTCAGGTCCAGTGACCCTTCCTCAGAACTGGTTCACTGGACCCAAAACATTAACTTTGATTTTTTACTTCACAAATGCTGCCAGATCTGCTGAGCTTTTCCAGCAACTTCTGCATTTGTTTCTGATTTACAGCATCCACACTTGTTTTGGCTTTGTTATTGGAACTGTCTGTTTTATGAAGAGTTCAGTTAAGTAGAAAACTTAACAGTTTCTCTGGATTTGAGTTTTTAAGAGGGTACTGGCAAACAGTTTGAAACTTTGTTTTCATGTTTGAGATAAGCTCATGCTAGCTGTTAGCTGTTGGTTTGTATTTCATTCTGGGATTGGACTTGACCAGTAGTACCAAATCAGCTGAGACATTACTGTCCTATCTACTAGTCTCTGGAATGGCTTTTTGTTGAACATAACTTGTTAAAGTGATGTATATTAAGAACAAAACTAAGATAATTTTCTTTTTACCCTTCAATTAGACAAACCTGCTGTATTGCCCCACTGGCATAGACCTCCAGACACTTGCAGAATGGAGTTCCTCTCCCATCAGCCATCAGTTTGATGTGGTCAGTCCTTCACACATTTGGATATTTGCACATGTGACACAGGGTCTGGACCCTTGGGTAATTAGCTTATCAAGCTTCCTGAAGCAAGAAAATTTGCCCAAACACTGCCCATCAGCAGTGAGTTATGCTTGGATGTTTTCATACACCCGCCTACAGATGCTTTCTCCACAAGTGGACATAAAGTAAGTCTTTTGAATTTTTTCTTTCAAGCCTATTGTTTGCCATTGCTATTGCGTACACAAATGGTTCCCATTCTCTACTTTTTGGTCCATTAATTGAGTAGTTTAGAATTCAAGTTATAAAAAGCTGAATTTTGATGACCAATGTTGGCTGTAAACATCTTAAGTTAGATTTATTAGGTATATTAATGACCTAGATTTGGGACTGCAAGGCAAAATTTCAAAATTTTTGGGTGACAACTTAGAAGTTTAGTGAACTGAAAGAAGGGTAGTGTTGAATTAAAGTAAATCCCTGATGGGATTTATCCAAGGATTCTATGGGAAGCAAGGGAAGAGATCGCAGGGCATTTGGCAATGATCTTTTCGTCCTCACTGTCCACGAGTATGGTGCCAAAAGATTGGACAGTGGCAAACGTCATTCCCTTGTCCAAAAAAGGGAATAGGAATAACCCTAGAAATTACAGGCCAGTTAGTTTTACTTCAGTGGTGGGCAAATTATTGGAAAGGGCTCTGAGAGATTTATGATCACTTGGAAAGGCACAGTTTGATTCGTGATAGTCAGCATGGATTTGTGAGGGGTAGATCATGCCTCACAAACCTTATTGAATTCTTTGAAGAGGTGACCAAACACGTGGATGAAGGTAGAGCAGTGGATGTGGTATACATGGATTTGAGTAAGGCGTTTGATAAGGTTCCCCATGGTAGGCTCATGCAGAAAGTAAGGAGGCATGGGATAGGGGGAAATGTGGCAGATTGGATTCAGAATTGGCTAACACGTAGGAGACAAAGGGTGGTACAGGACGGAAAATATTCAACATGATGCTCAGTTACGAGTGGTGTACCACAAGGATCAATTCTGGGTCCTCTTCTATTTGTGATTTTTATAAATGATTTGGATGTAGGAGTGGAAGGGTGGATTAGTAAGTTTGCAGATGATACGAAGGTGGGTCGAGTTGTGGACAGTGCGGAGGGCTGTTCTAGGTTACAAAGGGACATTGATAGGATGCAGAGTTGGGCTGAGAAGTGGCAGGTGGAGTTTAACCCTGAAAAGTGTGAGGTGATTCATTTTGGAAGGACAAATTTGAAAGCAGAATACAGGGCTAACGGAAAGATTCTTGGCATTGTGGAGGAGCAGAGGAATCTTGGGTTCAAGTCCACAGTTCCCTGAAAGCTGCCACCCAGATGGATAGAGTTGTTAAGAAGGCATATGGTGTGTCAGCTTTCATTAATAGAGGGATTGAGTTCAAGAGCCGTGAAGTTATGCTCCAGCTATACAAAAGTCTGGTTCAGCCACATCTGGAGTATTGTGTCCAGTTCTGGTCGCCTCATTCCAAGAAAGATGTGGAAGTGTTGGAAAAGGTGCAGAGGAGATTTACCAGAATGTTGCCTGGAATGGAGGGAAGGTCTTACGAAGAAAAGTCGAGAGAGCTCGGGCTTTTCTCTTTAGAACGACGAAGGATGAGAGGTGACTTGATAGAGGTGTACAAAATGAACTGAGGTATAGAAAGAGTAGGCAGCCAGAGACTTGTTCCTAGGGTGGAGGTAGCTATTACGAGGGAACATAGTTTTAAAGTGAGTGGAGGTAGTATAGGGGAGATGTCAGAGGTAGGTTCTTTACTCAGAGAGTGGTCGGGGTGTGGAATGCATTGTCAGAGAGGGTAGTGGAGTCGGCCTCATTAGGGGCATTTAAGCAGCTATTAGATAGGCATATGGATGATAGTATAACGTAGGGGTGGAGGTTAGATAGACCTTAGGATTAGGGTAAAACATCGTGGGCTGAAGGGCCTGTACTGTTCTATGTTCTATGTTCTATGTTCTAAATCAACAAAATCTGGTGAAATAGTTGAAAGTGGCAAGTTAAGTTAAAAGGAGACAAAGGTGAAGCCATATACATTTAGTTTTATTCACAGGACTTGCGTATTGGTGGCTAGACCGACGTTTGTTGTTCACCCCTAACTGCCCTTAAGAAGGTGGTGAGTTGCCTTTTTGAATTGCTGCAGTGCATGGGGTAGGTGTGTCCACTGTGCCTTGAGTGAGGGAGTTCCAGCTCCGCCTTCAATACTATTATCCCTTCCAGACTGGTATCTCAAAACTTCAAGACCTTGGTCTCAGCTCCGCTGTCTGCAACTGGATCCTCAGCTTTCTGACCCACAGACCATAATCAGTGAAGATAGACAACTGCACCTCCTCCACGATAACACTCAACACTGGAGTCCCCCCACCCCACCTCCCCCACCCCCCCAAAGGATGTGTCCTCAGGCCTCTACTGTACTCCCTGTATACCCACAACTGTGCTGCCAAATCCTGAATGAATGCCATCTACAGGTTTGCTGACGTCACCACTGTGATAGGACGGATATCTAAGAACAACGAGTCAGAATATAGAAAGGAAATAAAGGACTTGGTGCAGTGAGAACAACCTCTTTCTCGACGTTGGCAAAACCAAAACCCTGATCATTGACTTCAGAAAGAAAGCAGGAGATAACACCCCCATCTACATCAACGGAGCTGAGGTTGAGAGGGTGGACAGTGTCAAGTTCCTAGAAGTGAAGATAATCGATGAAGATATTGCCCTTCTCCAGTCCTGAAGAAGGGTAATACCTGAAATATTGACTGCTCCTTTCCTCCAGATGCTGCCTGGCTTGCTGTGTTTTTCCAGCCTCCTGTTTGTCTACCTTGGATTCCAGCATCTGCAGTTTTATTGTCTCCTTCCACTCATGGACTCCATTTACACGGCTTTTCTGAAGAAGGGTCTAGACCCGAAACGTCAGCTTTCCTGCTCCTCTGATGCTGCTTGGCCTGTTGTGTTCATCCAGCTCTACACCTTGTTATCTTAAATTTAATCAGGACTTTGATCCAGTGACGCTCAAGAAACAATGGAAGTTCCAATTCAAGATGCTTTGGGCTTGAAGACGAACTTAATGGTATTCTTGTGTATCTGCTGTGCTTGTTCTCGAGGATGGAGGCCACTGGTTTGGAAAGTGTTGTTTTGGAAGCCTTGGTGAGTCATTGCAGGGCATCTTGTAGATAAGGCACAATGCATAGTATGGAGGGTGTGAATATTGAAGGTGCTGGATGAGGTGCCAATTAAGCAGGCCGATTGTCTTGGATGATGCTTGAGTGTTCTGATCTCATAGAGTCAAAGAGGTATACAGCACAGACAAATGGAGACTGTTCCATCACACCTCTGACTTGTACCTTGTAGATTGTGGACAGGCTTTGAGAAATCAGAAGGCAAGTTACTTGCTTGCCTCTACCCTTGAACTGCTGTCTAGCGTGAGTGCACCCACGGTGCTGTTATGATGGATTTGCAGGATCTTAGCTTACTTGATAGTGATGGAATGGAGATATAGTTCTAAGTCAGGAAATTGCATGGCTTGGAGGGGTGTTCCCGTGCATCTGCTGCTCTTACCTCTCTAGGTGGTAGAGGTAGCAGCTTTCGAAGGTGCTTCTGATGGAGCTTTGGTGAGTCACAATAATACATCTTACAGATGGTACGCACTGCTGCAAATGTACATTGGTGGTAGAAATAAGGGGTGTTTATTGTGGTGAATAGGATACCGATCAAGCTGTTTAGTCCTAGATTATGATGAACTCATGAGTGTTATTGGAATTGCACTCGTCCATACAAGTTGAGAGTATTCTATCATACTGCTAATTTGTGCCATGTAGATGATATATTGTGCCGAGTCGGGAGGTGAGTTACTTGTTGCTGAGTTTCTGACACAATATTTATATAGAATCCTAGAATTCCTAGAATGCAGAAAGAGGCCATTTGACCCATCATGGCAGCACCGAACCTCCAAAGAGCATCTGACCCAGAGCTATACCCTACCCATAACCCCGCATTTGCCATGGCTAACCCACCTAGCCTGCACAGCCCTGGACACTATGGGCCATTCAGCATGGCCTATCCACCCAACCTCCACATTGTTGGATTGTGGGAGGAAACCAGAGCGCCCAACGGAAACCTACACAGACATGGGGGGAATGTATAAATTCCACACAGAGTCACCCAAGTCTGGAGTCGATCCCAGGTCCCTGGTGTGGTGAGGTAGCAGTGCTAACCACTGAGCCATCTGCTGTCCTCCTCTTGCATTCTGCGTTTTGGACCAAGGCTGGAGTCGAGTAGCCCAAGTGAAAAGCAATCCGAGTAATAGTGAGTAGGTTATTGTTGAATGAGCGCTGCTGGACTGCATTGATTATGATGCCATCCTTGATTGTGCAGGTGATTGAGAAGAGACTGATGAAGCAGTAATTGGCCTACTGGATTTATCCAACATTTTCTGGACAGGACGTACCTGCTGTAATCTATAGAACACTGACTATTGGGAAGGAGTATTGAAGCAAATCCACAATGGAATTACAGATGGTGCAAACATCTTAGTGTAGTTAAATGAATTTTATTTAAGACAATATAGATTGGAATAGTAGAGCAAAGGGCAGCAAAAGCAAGAATTCCTAGACTCTATTCAGGAGAATTTTCCATATGAATGTGTTTCCAGTCCAATGAGAAAAAAAGCAGTATTAGACATAGTTCATTGGAATGAGATTGTGTTAGCAGGGATCAGTTAATTGAAACTAATCATTGTATCATTGGTGGAAAATAAAGATAAAGAAGCTAAAGTAAGAATAATGAATTGACGGAGAGCTGATTTAAATGAGGCAAGATCAGAGCTAGCCCAGATAGACTGAAACCAAAGATTGATTGGAGAAAACACCTGAGCAATGGGCTGTCTTCAAAATGGAAATGGATCAGACACTGTCAAAGTATATTCTTTCAATAGGAAAAGGCATGACAAACAAATCAAGAAGGGAAGGAAGGTAAGTTATTGAAGAAGTGTGCCTATAAAAGTGTCAGGTAGAACAAAAAATTCAGAGGGAGTTGAAAAAGCAAGTGAGAAGTGAAGACGGATTATATAATAACAGACAGGTAGCTAACATAAAGGGAAATCCCAAAGTCTTCTGTGAGTACATCAGTAGTATAAGTGTGGTAAAAGGAGGAGTAGGGCCACTTAAGTCCAAAAAGAGATTTGGACATGGAGGTAAGAGGCATGGCAAAGGGCTTAAATGCATACTTTGCATTTGTCTTCACCTGCGAGGCAGACACTGCCCAGGCTGTAGTGACAGAGGAGGACGTTTGGTCATTAGAGGGGTTTAGAATAGATAAGGAAGTGGTTTTGAGTGACTTGTCATACTTAAGACACTGGGACCAGATGAGATGCATCCAAGGGTATTGAAGCAAGTGAGAGTGGAAATTCCTGAGGCACTGATGATAATCAGTCAATGTTCCCTGGAATCTGGGGTGGTACCAGAGGACTGGAGAATTGAAAACATTATGCTCTTGTTCAAAATGGTTGTAGAGATAATCTCACCTTTTATAGTTCAGTCAGTTTAACTATGGTAGTGAAATGTATCAAAATAATTATTCAAGAAAGGATGAATAGAAGCTGGGAAAAATATGGATTAATTTGGAAAAGCTAACATGGATTTGTTAAGGAGGAATTATGTGTAATTTGCTAGAGTTTTATTTTGAAGAGGTAACAAAGGGAGTTGGTGAGGGCAGTATGGTGGATGTAGTGTACATGGGCTTCCAAAAGGCATACAATACAGTGCCACACAATAGACTTGAGAGAAAAGTCATAGCTCTCAGACTAAAAGAGTTGGCAGCAAAGTAGGTTCACAACTCGATGAGGGACAGAAAACAGAGTAGTAATTCAATGTTATTTACAAGCTGGAGGAATGCTTGCAATGGAATTCGTTTCGCATGGGTAGGTATTAGGATCATTGCTTTTCCTCATGTGTGTCCTGGAGACAATTTCAAAGTTTGCAAATGATACAAGACAAGGGAACATTGTAAGCTGTGAGAAGAACAGCGTAGAACTTCAAAAGGACATTGACAAGTTGGTAGACTGAGCAGGTAGGTGACTGATGACTTTCAATGTGAAGAAATGTGAGGTGATGCATTTTGGTAATTCACAAAATTACCAAAGAAACAGCCCAAAATAAAATGTATTAGTCTAAAGGATATGCAGGAGCATAGAGACCTGAGTGTATATGTGCATATGTCATTATTGGTGACATGTCAGAAATTAATAGAGCATCAAGTATTCTAGCCTTCATTAATAGGGGTATGGAATACAAGACCAGGAAGTTTATATTGAGCATAAAGGACGCTAGTTAAAGCTGAGCTAGAGTACTATGTATAGCTCTGAGCACTACACTGTAGAAAGATGCGCTTGCATTGGAAAGATGCTGAAATAGTTTACGAGAATGGTTCTAAAGATGAGAAACTTGGTTAAGAAGATAGAGTGGAGAAGTTCGTGGTGTTCTTAGAAAGGATGGTTGAGATGAAATCTAATCATGTTCAAAGTCATGGAGGGTTTGGATAGAGTAGATAGTTCACTATGGCAAAAGAGTTGAAAGCCACAGGAGATAGATTTAAAGTGATGGCAAAAGAAACAACTACAGCATGAAGGAAATTTTTTTTGTATGAATTGGATGATCATTGTCTGGAATTTATTCTGATAGTGTGGTGAAGACAAGTTCAGTGGGAAATCAGAATCAACACAAGAATAGACAGTAAATTCATGGATTATGGGGAGAAAGGCAAGTGCACAGAAATGGCAGGGTTGTTCGTGCAAAGAATTGGCATGGTCACGGTGACCTAATAACAGTATCTATTCTGTGTTTCCGTAACATTGGCAAAAATTTGAGCACTTATAATTTTCAATAGTTTTTCAAATTGATACATTTTTATTCTAATCATCTTTTCCATATAGTAGTCCTATAAATGCCAAAAAAGTGAGCACCACAATCGGCAACGATTCCTACATTGGGCTTTGGAGAAACTACCTTATCCTTTGCTGCAGTGCGGCAACGTGTAGTACAGCTCCTTCAGGATCACTAAGGTGCTCACCTCCAGAGACGCTGGCGTCTACTCCTGATAGTGGATATAGTCTGGATTCTAAGGTAGGTACTTCTTGAAATTTGTATCAGCTTGATAAGATGGATGTTGAGAGATTGTTTCTGCTGGTCAAGGAATCTAAAATGCAGGGTAACAGACTTTGGAGAAGGGCCCACTCATTTAAACTTGATCATTCATCTATACATGTAGTCAAAATTACTGACATCCACCTGTAAGGCTTTGATGTACATCCCTCTGAGAACTGGTATTGTGTAATCGTTAGGCAGTAATGTAATAAATATCCAAAAGCCTTAAGAGAATGTTCAATTTAACCTTAATCCAAACATCCTCTCCCTCTCCTTCACTCTCTCTCTCTCTGTCTCGCTCTGCCTTTGTCTCGCTCTCCCTCCCTCTCACCACCTCACCTCCTGCTCTTACTCCTTCACCATGCTGCCTTTGCTCTCCCCAGATAGATCCGTTAGAAAATCAATGTTAACTTTGATCTCA